TGACAAGTGGGAGAGGTGACAAGTGAGAGTGGCACACTTCCCCATCCTCCTCCTCCTACAAGGACAACATCAAGAAGAAGAGCAGTGGAGGGAAAAGGATTTGAACTTGCTTAAGTCCTTCTATGTTGAGCATTAACCTGCCCATACACCAGGTTTTCATTCCCTTATATAGATCTATAGTTAGACCTCATTTAGAATGCTCTGTCCAGTCCTGGAGACCTTGCCTACAATAAGATATTAATAAGAAAGAGCAAGTCCAGAGATGTGCAACAATTATAGTGTACGGTCTGCGGGATAAAACATATCAGGAAAGACTGAAAATTGAAAATAATAAATAGATGAAGGTTGTGAATAAGATCAAGGCCAACTGATGCTCAGCCTCAGGGGAGCAATAGGTAGAGGGGTAGCAGGGGTGTGGAATTCCTATCTCCCGATGCCCGGGACATGCAGTTTCCGGGCGCCAGGTGGGTAGTTGTTTACTACATTAAGCCCTGCTTTGTGCAAGCAGGGCTAAATGTACAGCGGGGAAGCCACCACTTGTTTTGTACAAGTGATCACTTGTATGTAGAGATCACTTGTATGCAGCCTGCATACAGGGGGGCGCATTGAGGAACCTGGCCTTGGGGCAGCAGAGAGAGTAAATCCAGCCCTGAAGACGGGAACATGTTCTCAAGCAGAAGGAAAGTTCAAGACTAACCTTAGGAAGTAATCCAGTGTATGTAAACACTCAACAGCCAGCACCTCTATGTCAAAAAGTTGATTCCCAGGAATCTAAAACATTACAAGCATAACAATAACCAAAGGCCAGATTATATGTGATCAAGGAGATGTGCTATCTTTCATAATGGGTTCATACCAGGGGAACATGCATGCAGTGGCGTCACAAGGGGGTTGTGGGGGGTGCAGCCCGCACCCGGGTGACACCAATGGAGGGGTGACACCAAAATGACTGACAGTCGTTTTGGTGCCACACCCTCTGAAAAAGTCGGGCACTCGGTCATGGACCTGGAGCCCAACAGTTGCAGGAGAGAGGAGGGGATCCAGCGGCATACCTTATCCCGCCGGGTGAACTTTCCCTCCTCTCTCTGCTGGTGTCCAACACCTATATAGCCACCGGCATGTATCACAAAGATAGCTGCGCATGCATGATGACGTCATCACGTCGCGCATGTGTGCGGTTATGTCACGGCGGGGTGTCACCCGGGATGCGCTCCAGCTGACACCCGGCCTCGTGATGCCCCTGCATGCATGCTTGCTCCTATGTGGGAAAAATAGAAAGAAATTGAATAGGCTGGGCACACATACCATCTGGTTGGTGCAATGATCTTTGATACGGTGCCTATGATATATTTTTCTTTGATCTTTATTGACATATGTATTTGATGGGAGCATCATTGGGAAATATGGCCACTCAATAGTCCCTTGCAGCCCTCCCCAACTCATGGGATTGGTTCTGGGCACCTAGATTAACAAGTCCTACTAGACTGACTTACACAGTATACCGTTTTTAATGTTAGCTTAATTGTGGATTGGCAATATTGACACCCAAATCTACATGATATGTACTAATGCATTTGTTTATGTAATTCTAGATAATTAATCTCCTGAAGAAGCAGACCTGCACAGTTTAAAATGACGGCCTACCCATCTCTTCTTCCTAGGCAGATAGATGATTTGAACAAGACCGATAGAAAGCTGATACTAGAATATGGCTTCTCCATGTAACAATAACCCTGAATTGAAAGGCTAGGAGGTGTAAAGACATTTGATGCCTGACTCACTCATGACAGGATTCAATTACAATCAGTCTTGTGATGTCTAATTATGTTTTTAACCTTGTAATTGTAAATTTTGAGAGAAATAACTTAGGGATGGGGTGATCCTTTGATTAACAACGGCACCTTCAAAGTCCCAAAAATTCTACTCCCCCCCCTGTGTATTATTATAGCCAGCAATAGAAATTTGACAAGGGCTCCAACCCTTCCATGCTCTAATAGAATATGTTTTGGCTGGAGATTCACACACATATACACAATAGACATGTGATGACAGTTGTCCTATCTGGGTGATGATATCACATCTATGGATCCTTCCGTTGCTGGCTGCCAGCTGCTCTCAGGGCAGACAATCAGCTATGAAGGTTGGGAAACCTGTTCAGATATTGCATGGCATTTCACAAGATAAGAAGTGGCAGCAGCAGCGTCTGCCAACATGGTGTCTCTGCTTCTCTATATGACCTGCGGATAAGCCGGCTCCGTAGATGTCTACAACTGTTTTATAATCACCTGCGAGATATATTTTACAATGGACCTCATTTAAAGTGTTTAGATAGCCCAAACTTTCTTTGTTTTCAGTTTTTGGATGGAGTAGGGAAGGTAGAATATCTGTTGGTTTATCTTTAGCTGTATGTATCCCTATGGCGAGATTTACCTTCAATTCCTATCCCAAAGGAAGAGAAAGGAAATATCTACAGAGAGGAGAACCACTCATGTCACAATCTGATTGTACAATTTACTTTAGTTCTACCAACATCTTTGACAGATAGATAGATAGATAGATAGATAGATAGATAGATAGATCAGCAATTTAAACCTACTAATACCTATACTTCGTACAGTTATTGTAACTAGGTTATATTTTAATCATTCTATCTATCTATCTATCTATCTATCTATCTATCTATCTATCTATCTCATTGTATCTATCTATCTATCTATCTATCTATCTATCTATCTATCTATCTATCTATCATCAATTGATTTACGCCTAGTCATCTATCTAGAGCTATCTATCAATGTCTCTTGGTATACAAGGATAGATAGATAGATAGATAGATAGATAGATAGATAGACAGACAGACAGATAGAATCAACAATTTAAACCTATTAATACCTATATTTCTAATAGTAATAGTTACTAGGATATATTTTAATAATTCTATCTATCTATCCTTATTATTCAAAATACATTGATAGACAGATAGATCTAGATAAATAAGTAGGCCTAAATAATTTGATATTATTGATGATAGATAGATAGACAGACAGACATATAGATAGATAGATAGATAGATAGATAGATAGATAGATAGATAGATAGATAGATAGATAGATAGATAGATAGATAATAGATAGATAAAATAGATAGATAGATAGATAGATAGATAGATAGATAGATAGATAGATAGATAGATAGATAGATAGATAGAATTTAAACTTATATTCCCTGTAGTTCTAACCAGTCATAATATAATAGTTGTATATAAATGATATAAAAGACAAACGCTCAGAGAATAATAATATAACGGTTTTTATTTCACTGTGTGACACACACACACAGAGCTGAATGTCAGGGTGCAGCAGATCACATGCGTTACCAATGTAACAATATTTTACAGTGAACATTCACATTACATGTAAATTTTACTTTTACTTGTTTTATTTCACAGAAATTGCTGAATTTTTTTTTTCATTCAGAAAAAATACTCTTCATTTAGCACTGGCCCCTCCAAACCGAAGAGCATTTTCATACCCAGTTACTAGGGGAAAAATAATCAAAACAAGAAAAGTTTGTTCCGATTCCAACCAACACAACAGCATTTAATGCTGAAACATCGAATATATAAAAATAGATTCTTTAAAGAAAACACAATAGGAAAATAATCTTTCAATAAAAGAAACATCATCCCAGGGTTCAGAAAATTGCATAATCAGCCCCGGGATGTATTCAGCTCTTTTTGCTGTACATTAATGAAATGCAAATATTACTGTGTTATATTATAGATATATATATATATATTATATATGTACAAATATTTTATTTTACAAGACACATGCCTTGTACTATATAGAACGTTCTATACGCATCACATAGACTCTATGCATCTTAACATCACATACATTCCTCCTATATTAGAAGAATTCAAATATTGTTTCCTAAACTGAGGAAAACCAAAATCTTTCTATGAGAAAGGGTTGGATTACAACAGATGTGCAAAGCTTCACACCTAAGGGTATAGGCTGGCAAGTGTGAGCGCAGGTCTGCCTGCAAAGGATGCTGGGAGCTCCCAGAATGCCTTTAACTAAAGTCTGTCTCACTGAGCACTGTGTTGGGTTTCTTTCACCAAGGCCTCCAGACGTTTTTGCTTTGACCGAGCTGACCGGAGGCTTTTTCTGTCAAAGCGTTGGGCAGTTCATAACTGGCAGGATGCCCGATGAATTGTCTGGCCAGCTTGTCCTGATGATTATCTGCTGCCAAGTAACACATGGAGTAGCCATCTCTATGGGCTTGGCTGGAGGCTGCTGTTACATCTGGAATAAACAAGATGCATGTTAGTTATTAAGTCTACTGTCACCTTCTACAATCCTCCATCCCAACATTTCTCAGCAAGAAACTCAAGAGCTAGAACAAGGGTGGGGGGGGGCACTTACGTTTCTCAATCATGTGCTGCTGCAGGAAGTTGACCGTCATCTCCAGTATGTCGGCCTTCTCAGGTTTGGAGGGCAGTTGATGTTTCTGGAACTCTTTCTCCAGTAGGAGACGCAGCTGCTCGATGCTGCTGTTAATGCGATCTCTCCTCATCTTCTCAATAGCGGGCTTCCTCAGCTGCACAAAACAAGACACGGGATGGTAAATAACTCTGTTATCATCATAATCAGCTTCTATATCAATCTAACATTAATTGATGGGTAGCAAGGCTAAGCCTATATAGCTGGGGTGGGCAACCTCAACACTCCAGCTGTTGTGGAAACTGTTTTACTATGGAATATTTAGCAGTTATGAACGTTATAAAGATAGACTTAGTTAATAAAAAAAAAAAACATAAACTAGGAGCAATAGTCAGAAATCCAGATTTTATCAGTCTAAGTCAACCAAAATGATGATTGCTGCTTGTCTAAAAAGTATCTGAGTTTGCACATTGCTCTACCAAAGCTAAAATTAAAAAAGAGCTAATACAATGGAAATAAGAAGGTGCACTTGGCCCCAGAGGGAAATCTTACCTTTCGGAGCCCATTGGTAGCTTGATGATCCAATGTCCTCATATTGCAGGGGGCCATGTTATTGGAGCTAGTAGTAGTCAGGCAGATGTGTGCTGGATAAGCCAGTTGATGTGTGTCTGCTAGTGAGCAGTCCAGCCTTCTATATATACCCCTCTCTCTGCATAACAATATATGGAGAGCTGGCTTGCAAGAGGTTCCCACACTCAGCAGCCAATCACAGAGGAGCGGGGACAATGGACGTGTGTCATCTGAAGCTGGAGCAGAGCATCTGGAGCTGGTATTGTGTGGAAAGACATGAAAGTGTGGGAAAGACACACACCATAAAATCCCCTGGCTACATCTGCTGTGGATGTACTAAACACTGACTCTCATAATGACATCGATACCATAAACACCGGTAAGCAGCATATTGTACCATGCAGAAGACATGGGAAAACTACACTCCCTCCAAATCAATCAATATTCATTAAAGAGGATGCATTAAATGTACCCCATTATCAGGTACACACAAATAATTAATATGCAACAAGGGAAGTCTTAGTGTAAATAAATATTAAAATCTCCCATATAGAGACTTAATGGGTTTCAAAAGCTTGACATTTTACATTTTAAATTAGCCAGGAAAAGGCATCAAGTTTCCATAATTAATAATAATTTGAAGAACCCATTTATATGTTTCCTGTTTTTCTTTTTACATTTTGAGTTAGCTAATAAAGGGCGCCAAAATTTCTGTAAACTAATTTGATGTTAAATTCAGCTTTGTTTTACTTACCAAGGTCCAAATTAAGAACAAATATATATAATAAGGAATTATATCTCTTTCTCTTTCCATCTCTTTCTTTCTCTCTCTGTCTCACGTCTCTTTCTTTCTTTCTTTCTTTCTTTCTTTCTTTCTCTCTCTCCCCCTATTTCTTTTTGTCTTCTCTCTCTTTCTTTCTTTCTTTCGCTCTCTCTCCCTCTCTGTCCCTCCCTCACCACCCTCTCTCACTCCCTCCCTCACCACCCTCTCTCTCTCTCTTTTCCTCCTTTCTCTTTCTCTCTTTCTATCGCCTCTATTTCTTTTTCTCTTCTTACTCGCTCTCCATATCCATCTTATTTCTTGCTCTCTCTCCTCTCTCACTTTCTTTCTTTCTTTCTTTTTCTCTCTTTCTCTTCCTCTCCCTCTCTCTCTCCCCCCTATTTGTAGCTAGGCTGTGAGGTAAGGAATGCACCTTATACCTTTACCCATAATTTTGCAAATTAACTCAGGCTATCTTCAAGCTATCTTCAAGCTAAAGCTGGCCCTAAATGTGGCCCTAAATGTTTTTGAGCTATACAAACTGGTGTGCTTCATTGGTTCCTCTGCAAGTCTCTAATCTTATCATTACGGTGGGCTACATAAAATAATCGTTTTCTGAAACTCTACCTTCGATATACAAAATAAACATTTTGTACAACAGATCAAACACTCATTTCACGAAGCTGGAATTTGAACTTGCCACAAGGTCTATGTAATTGGCCCTTGCTCAGGTCCTACATAGCCGTCCCCCTGCCCTTTGATGATGAGAGGGTGTGAAGAGCCCCTGGGAGCAGCACACTTTCATACCTTGTGTCCTTTTGATCCTGTCCTGGGAGAACACAGCATAGAGGTGATTAAGACTAATGGTGGCGCAGGCACTGGTCCATGAGCCGGGAAGTGTGCCTGACATACAGCTGTGAATTCTCACACGTCCCTGGGAGAGGAGGAAGTGTGCTGCTTACATCTCTCCTCTTATTACAGAGCATCAGGAACTGGGACACTATTGTATAGAGGGGAACACAGACTTACATTATGTCACTGAAAGACAAACTGCAGATACTAAATAAAACTGGAGTTTCAAGGGATGCAACTTCTTGATGTTTCACAGAAAGTCTTTCATTAATGCAATACTTTGCCAACAGACCTCCATTTCCTGGAGCAAGCCCGGGTTTTAAAAGTTTTGTCCCTGGAAACATTCCAACCAACTGTACAATAAGGTCCTGGTGTGTCTGTGTTAAATTTAAATTGTCTTTTATTGGGTGCCAGTGCTTCTGTTGCTTAAATCAAACTGTCAATAACAGTGTACCATGCAAAGAAGACAGTAAATTCCACTCAGTCGGCCACTGCTGTCGTTTAGAGAAATAGCTGCCTAATTACTCCTCAAAAACTGAAACTTTTGGTAGTGGACTTATGGTCCTTCCACTATTCTCAATGGTTCTTCAACCAATACATAAGTATGTCACTACTGGGGCAGCGCTTGGTTTCTACAGAGTCTTCTGGTGGCAATTTATCATCATTATAGCTGCGTATGGCACCTTCGGCCGCAGGAGAGCAACACTTTTATGAATGCTTTTTTTATTCACAGTTTAATTGAAAGCGACAGAGTTCCTTTAAACTGCAACTCCAGTTAAAACCTTTTATTGCTAGTTTGGATCAAGATAGGAAGGGTGAAACCTCTGTTTTTATTGCTGTCTGTGGGTGCCCCCATGCTGGTGACAACATAAAAAAAACAAAAATTTTATATTTTTTATCACCTTCTGTTTTAATGACGGTGGAAAGAACATAGGATTAACTATCTTTCAGCAGGGACATAGAGAGCAAGATAAACATGATATGTTCTAAACCTTCCCAACTCAATCCAAAACAGGGAAAACATGTCTTTAATCAAGATTGTTTAGTTTTTCTAAAGTGCCTACAGGCTTCAGAGAACATATCTCTGTTCCATGCAGGCAAGGAGGGATTGGGGAGCACATACTGTATATATTCAAGAGCTCTACCTGCACATGACAGACAATTCTTCCATAAGGCTTCTTGGATGGAGAAGAGGAAAGACAATTGGTCAGGTTGGAGGTTTCCCTGAAGATCATTATTGTTTCATCCTGAAAAAAGGCCAGCGCTGGAGAGTTCTGCTAAGCATTGCTCCTCCTCACCCAATAGCCGTATATGCACATTTTTGGATGGATCAGCAGCTGGTTTAATGTTTAATGTTTATGGGCTCCCAACTGAAACTGTTGGACAAGAACTGTTGGAAAGTCAATTGGCAAGGTTGGATAATAATAATAATAATAATAATGATATATAGAGAGAGGAGAGGACTGTAGGCATTGACTGTCTTGCAGTAAAAAAAAAAAAAGGCAGGAAAATCCATTGGGGGCCGATCAATTGTGTCCCCAAGCAGACTCTGACAAGAGGCATAGAGGGAAACCTTTAGACATAGGAACATGATCTGAGTGTAAAAAGGTAGAAGGTCTTCTCATGTTTGTAGGCACCAGATCTTGGCCTCAGACCCCTCAGCTTCTCTCTGCCCTTTGATGATGAGATAGTGTGAAGAGCCCCTGGGAGCAGCACACTTTCACACCTTGTGTCCTTTTGATCCTGTCCAGGGACAACACAGCATAGAGGTGATTAGGCCTAATGGTGGCGCAGGCACTGGTCCATGAGTCTGGAAGTGTGCCTGACATACAGCTGTGAAATGTCACACATCCCTGGGAGAGAAGGAAGTGTGTTGCTTACATCTCCCCTCCTATTACAGAGCAGCAGGAACTGGGACATAACTGTTGTACAGAGGGGAAGGCAGACAATCTTTTACTATGATATAAACCATAAAAGTAAGATAAAAGCATTGTTACCAAAACCTTTGAAAATTTCCAGAAGCCTTTGACTCATACCAAATTATGTCACAATAGATAAACATGGCCAGTTTCTCTTCACTGAAAGTCCTGCAAAAATCTGAACATTTTGGCAAAATGCATTGACGTGAATAAGGAAGGCAAAGTAAGGTGGTTTTTTAAGAGACTAAAAAGGGGCTATACATTTAAATAGTTTATTTCATTTAATTTTGATTTGTAATTTTATTTTTTTCCTAGCATTTTGTGGGTATTTTGTTGTTATTTGATTCTTTTTTTTTACAAGAAAAAAACTAAAATAAAATATGTAAAGCAACAGTACATGCATTCCTTTGCTTACATATTTGTTTTATTTTAATTTTTTGCCATATTTTTTACATGCAGAAAAAATATATGGAAAAAAATAAAGAACACTTTGCAAAGCAACATAGGAAGGAAGATAATTTTTTTCAAGCAAGTTTCACATAGACAACATAACATAATGAGAGGATCATTTTACTGACATTGTAACTTGTGCTAAATTAATAGCACTTTTGTATTACAACACCTGGGCTCTGAGTTGATTTTTCACCACGGAAAGTCAGCTTGTATGTTTTCCCTGTAGTTGTGGGGGTGTCCTCCCACGATCCAAAAATATACTGTATACAATTACAATTAAAAATGTTTACATAGCCCCGCAGTCAACATATTCGGCAGCGCTGTAAAATGAATTAGACAAGACAACTAAGAAACACTGACAAGCATCTTTGACATACAGAAACATTAGGTGAGGAGGACCCTGCCCAAACGGGCTTACAATCTAAGAGATACTATTGGAATAATCATTTTTGACTAACATTGATCTTTATGGACTTATGTGTAAATTATATTATAAGATTAGATTATACGCTTGTTCAGGGGCAGCAACGAATGTAAATGGTTCAGTGCTATTTAAATTCTTCTTCTTATTTTTTTGAGAATATATATTTTCTTTATTTGATTACCGTATTTTTCCGTGTATAAGACGCTACTTTTTCATAAAAATCTTTATCTAAAAATAGACGTGTGTCTTATACACGGGGGCCGCGGTTTTGAAAGTGCTGATACAACTGCAAACTAGCCTCACGGATTGCAGAGACAAGATAACAGTTCTCCTCCAGTCATAAATCTTTTTAACCTGACGTGAGCTGTTGCTGGGGAGATCGTGTAGGCAGTGCCAGAGCTGTAATGTCGGAGTATTCTGTGACCATAAAAATGTCAGAAAGTGATCCCGGAAGCATTGATAGTAATGCTACTTCTGGGATTTCCAGCCAATTTAATCTAGTAACTCTGCCGGCTATCTCAAACACAAGTCCCCAGAAGCATTTTATCCCCTGGCAAGCCCACCATATGTGTAGCATTGTACCCTCTTCCAATCCACATCTCCAGCACATCTTTGTTGCCTGAGGGTTTATTTTATTTACTATTGTTGGAC